CATGAGTTTCCAAGGCTATGGAAGCCTTTTGAGTTCACCGACTCTTATCTTGTTTAGACAAGGTCATAGTCAAAGTGTTTGTGTTTTTTTGACATGCAAAACAGTCTTCATAAGGATGGAGAAATGGTGGTTGCTGCTTTCCCCCCATTTATAGATACATCACTACAGAAGTGTCAATAATCCCATATTCATATACCAAGGGTAATGGCCTTTGCTTTATTCATATTTCCTTAGTTGTCCTGTTAGTTACTTCCTGATGATTCTGCAAATGTTTAGATAAATGATGCCTGTGTCCCTGGACTGTCCATGACTTACCCCTCATAGTAATTGATGATAAATTATTTGTGGCTCATGATGACATTTGTTTTTGGCCTATCTCTGAATTGTGGGATGAGAGACTGTGTCTCCTCATAGAAGAAAATAGAAGGTATTTGCTCCTCTTCTTGTCCTCCATTCTCCAGTTTATCAGGTCAAAAATCCATCATGGCTCAGCAAAGCTGTGTCTCCCAACCCATGCCCTGAAATACACATCCTTATGATTACTTGAGCTCTTCTACATGTGCTGATCAACTTTTCTGCTAGGCACTATATTTGGGGGTCTATAAGAATGCATTTTTTCAAAAAATCCCTATGGAAAGTAAAATATAGGCCATGAAAGAAAATGTTTCACTCCATAAGATTAACATTTTTGTGTTTAGACAGCTAACTAAATATGAAGGTATTTCAAAAGTAAGGCTATTCTGCCTCTTCATCTCTTGTATTTTCCTTGCATAGTAAAATATGATAAGTATCTTTCTTCCATGTAACTACCGTTATGATTAGTTCAGGCCTAAAGATCTCTTTTTGGTCTAGCATAATTTATTCTCAAACCAATTTTTGAAAGTCCCTGACTTTCTAACTGGATTCTCTTTAATAATCCAGTTAGTAGGAATACAGTACATAGATCTTTGATAGAAGATAGATATTAGGGCATCGATCTTCACATTATGATTAAAGCCAATGAATTCTGAGAATCCATTATCATGGACCATATAATTGTTGCAATCAAGCAATACATGTGATACAGTATTTTAGGAATATGTCCACAGAACCCTCCAGAACTATGATGATGGATACCAGCCAGTTATAACAATATTATTCCCTTCACATTGATGATCTTAATGGGTGGCCTGAGTTGGTATCTGCAAATAGTGTCTCGTTGATATTTTGATTTATTAGTAATTATTGAGTCGCACACATGTGTATTCATTATGTGAAGAATCTATTCTATTCTGACTTGCCATGTTTCCTTTTTCTGTTTTAAAGTAGGACTGTTTATATTTTAAGTAGATACATATAGGCATTTATTTTCCATGTGGAAGCATCATTTACCCCTTTATTGTACAAGATTTAGACATGGGAAATTAAATCCAAAATTAGATATAAAGAAAAATAGATAAACCCTGCACAATCATATTCCTCAGAGGCAATAATTATAAAATGTGATTTCAGAGTATGCTGTACACAAATATGCTTTTCTTGGGTCTTCTGGGGTCCGATGGAATCCCTTACATTTAAACCAGAAAAATATTGGTGCTGCCGAACCACATTCACGTTGTCTTTGCAGTGTAACAATGGTGGGTGTTAGGGAGTCTTTTCTTGCTCTTCTGCACAGGTCTTGGTTCATTCAAGGGATCATGGCTACCCTACAACACTAAGAGTGCATCCAAGGATGATGATGGCTTGAAATTTTTTATAAATATTTATTTATTTATTTGAAAATCAGAGTTATGCAGAGAGAGGAGAAACAGAGACAGAGAGAGAGGTCTTCCATCCATTGGTTCACTCCCAAATTTGCCGCAATGGCTGCACCAATCCAAAGCCAGGAACTTCTCCTGGGTATCCCAAATGGGTGTGAGGGTTAAAGGACTTGGGCCATCTTTCGCTGCTTCACAGGCCATAGCAGAGAGCTGGAGAGGAAGTGGAGCAGACAGGCCTTGAACAGGTGCCCTTATGGAATGCCAGTGCTTCAGGCCAGGGCGTTAACCTGCTGTGCCACAGTGCTAGCCCCATTGCATTTGAATTTTTCCATAGAACTTTGCTAAATACCACGAAGGGAGAACCATGGGGCTCTTCATTAATGTTTTATTAGATTATATTTATTTATATATTTGAGAGGCAAAGAGAGACAGAGAGACAGAGAGAGACAGAGAGAGAGAGAGAGAGAGAATTTTGCATCCATTGATTCACTTCATAAATGGCCAATAAGACTAGAGCTGAGCAGCTCTAAAGCCAGGAGCCAGGAGCCAGGAGCTTCTTTTGTGTCTCCCACTTGAGTATAGGGACTCAAGTACTTGGCCACCCTGCACTGCTTTCCCTGGTTATATAGCAGGGAGCTCTATAAGAAGAGGAGCAGCTGCACATGAATCAGTGCTCACGTAGGATGCTGGCACCTCAGGTACAGGCTTACACTAGTGCACCACAGTGCAGCCTCCAGGGATCTTTATGGTATGGCTCTGGGATTGCAACCTTCTCAGCATCTCTGGGTGTTTGCAGAGGCCTTCATGTGTACTGCAACTAGCCCCTAGATTGAGGCTTGAGCCAAGTCAAGAGCTGGTGCACCACAGTCTCAAGTGAGGATTCTCAGGCAACAGCAGAGGCAGGAGCTTCATCCTGCACAGGAGCCCTCAGTGGTTTCAAGTGGCCTTGACCTTGCCTCTTCCAGTCCAGAGTGAGGGATGCTTGTTACATGGGGCTTTCTGATGTAGCAGCATAGCCCCTGACCCTTGGGAGAGAGCTGCTTTCTTCTCCTCACCTCCTGTCAACTCCTCACAGCTCTGACACCCAGGGACAGCCCCAGAGAAAGCCCCTAGGCCTATGGAAAGCTGTGGAAACATCCCTGATGAATCCTCATGGGAATTCTATGGGCCAGTGATAGTGTGGCTTCATGGTTTGGTCAGATCCAATTTCCTTATGAAGTAAACTCATTTTTCTTAACTTTTCACCACTAAGTTGAGAAAGTTCCACTTATGTGTACTTGATATTAGAGAATTTGTAATTGTACAAGTATCCTAAATTCAGAATAGCAAGTCCTGTTCATTCACTCCCCAATGTTAGATGAGAAGCTTAACTCACTTTTCCCTCTGTCTTTATTCTGCCTGTCCAGTGTATATGATTGTAATTTGATCATTTTAATCTTGCTGGCACTAAAATTTCATTTGCAGCATATGGTGGTTTGTATTTTGCATTCTGTGAGTGGCACATAAACAAAATATTTACACAATGACTGTACTCTGTTTTTACACTGATAGTCTTAATATAGTCTTTCATAATAAAGTCTTTCATAGTCTAATATTTTGTTACACAGTGCTTTCAGATCTTACCTAGCATCAGAATTAGCCAGATGGGTGTACTGAAACAGTAGGAGTGCTTGTTGATAGATGCTCTGCCTTCACCTTCAGTAGTGTTTGTGGAGGTCAGAGGATGAGCACCAGCACCTGGCAGTGATATGATATGGCAGTGGTGGGGATGGGTTCCCTGGGGAATCATGAGGAGAGAGAGTCTTCCTGGCTTCTTCCCCACCCTTTTGGTGAAACCTAGTAATCATGAAATGTAAAATAATTCTAATGTACATTGTCTCCCTTGGGCTGGAAATTTACATCTTACTTGAACAGTATATTGTAGAATTTTTTTTATTTGGGAATAGAAATATGACCTCACTGAATCTCCAGCATTTGATGAGGAAGTTAATGTGTTTGCTCTCCTTGTTCTGACAATCCAGTTGATCTAATATGGTGTGATCTTCCTAATCCCAATAATTTGAGACTTTGAGTTTTCTTTTTAGGTAGTTTGTATGTTATACTTTTTGAAGGACTCATGAAGAGAAATTATTTAGACAATGCCTGACAATCCCCTAAGAGGGATAATGTATTAAGTTGTTCATTAACAGTCAGGGCTATGCTGATCAAGTCACCGTTTCTCATAGTGTTGATTTCGCTTCAACAGGTTTCCTTTTTGGTGTTCAGTCAGTTGTCACCGATCAGGGCGTACATATGGTATTTGTCCCTTTGGGACTAGCTTAATTCACTCAGCATGATGTGTTCCAGATTCCTCCATTTTGTTGCAAATGACTGGATTTAGTTGTTTCTTACTGCGGTATAGTATTCTAAAGAGTACATATCCCATAATTTCTTTATCCAGTCTACCGTTGATGGGCATTTAGGTTGGTTCCAGGTCTTGGCTATTGTGAATTGTGCTGCGATAAACATTAGGGTGCAGACCGCTTTTTTGCTTGCCAATTTAAATTCCTTTGGATAAATTCCAAGGAGTGGGATGGCTGGGTCGAATGGTAGGGTTATCTTCAGCTTTCTGAGGAATCTCCAGACTGACTTCCATAGTGGCTTGACCAGTTTGCATTCCCACCAACAGGAACCCTTCAAGATATTGGCACAGGCAAATAATTTCTGGAAAAGACCCAGGAGGCACAGGGAGTCAAAGCCAAAATCAACTATTGTAATTGCATCAAATTGAGAAGTTTCTGTACTGCAAAAGAAACAGTCAGGAGAGTGAAGAGACAACCGACAGAATGGGAAAAATTATTTGCAAACTATGCAACAGATAAAGGGTTAATAACCAGAATCTACAAAGAGATCAAGAAACTCCACAAAAACAAAACCAACAACCCACTTAAGAGATGGGCCAAGGACCTCAATAGACATTTTTCAAAAGAGGAAATCCAAATGGCCAACAGGCACATGAAAAAATGTTCAAGGTCACTAGCAATCAGGGAAATGCAAATCAAAACCACGATGAGGTTTCACCTCACCCTGGTTAGAATGGCTCACATGCAGAAATCTACCAACAACAGATGCTGGCGAGGATGTGGGGAAAAAGGGACAATTTCTACTTTTGATTTGAAGTGTATTGAGCCTGAGAAGATAGTCCAGGATAGTCCATTGGAGACAGTGTTCTCGATGTAGAATGAGTGTAAGTTCATGTGTGTGTTCCCTGTACACACAGAGAACTCTGTACCTACCCATTCAAATGTCCACGTATTTTTATTTTTGGAAATTGCTTTGCAATAACCTACATGATATTGGACTTCAATATAAATTATAAAAAGTCTCAAATAGAAAAAATATTATCAACTTTTATGATGTTGTTGCTAAAGTTCAATTTGACATAAATGTATGATTTCAGATTCCATATAAGTTTATGCAATTAGAATATATATTTCCCTGAAGTAAGTCTGAAGTTCTATAATTGAAGCATTCATCACAAACTATAAAAAAATGTCAAATGCAGCATTAAGGATATAGAAGATGAAAATGTTAAATATGAAAGAAACACTTAAGCAAAAATATTGAATAAATCTGGGTGCTAATTTTTAAAAAATTCATCCATAACTGTTTCATAACACACATTTTCCATGAATTTTCTGAAGCCTCCTCATTGCATGGAATTCATCCTCTCCATTCCCAATTTATTTTCAGTGAATGGAGTGCATTAAGATTGACTCTATTTTTAGTTCCTACACATTAGAGAGAACAGTGGATGCTTGCTCTCTGATTTAGATTTATGTTTCTTGTTTAACTGAATAGACAACAAGCTTCATCAATGTACCAGTAATAAGTTTAACTCATCAAGAAATTATATTTTCAATTTTAGGCAAGTCACTGAATTCTGTTGTGTATTTTGTTCCTATACTGCATCTCACTTTGTGTGTACCCCTAATCAAAATCTGCCTAATGGCATCAGAGAAGTGGCTAAGCAATGAAAAATGTGTTTTACTTAAAATATTAGGCACCACATTTACAGTAATTTGAGTTTAGAAAACTTTTGAGTGGAAAAATAGAGTTCGCATATATGCCCTTTCTTACCCCCCTTATTAGATTTATTCTATTGGCAATACCTCACACAGGTATACAAGCACAAATGATTAGTCAGTGTTGATCCTCATTATTGCCTATAGGACATGATATCCATTTTGTTCACTCTCGTCTTGTACAGTCTGTGGTTTGGCAAAGGTTTAATGGTACCTAGCTGCCCTGATGGTGTCCTACATAAGCATCCTGAAAGTCACTTGCATTCAAGAAGTATAGGTGTCTGCATGCATGATTCTGCCCTTGGTGTTTGTGGTGGTGGGAATAAAGAGGTGACTTCCAGCTGGTATTGTCTGCTTAGAGTAAAAAAGGTATAAGTAGTCAAATAGTCCCAGGTTCTCATGTGAGCACCAACCAAGGTTGTAGGTGCAAAAGCAGATCATCATGGGATTACCAGGGTTAACAGCAATGTGGAAGTTTTTTATGTTTTACAACTAAAGATGAAGTGATTAGAAATGCAGAATGGACATATCTGAATTCAGGCTGATTACTGGTTTCACAGTGATTGAAAACCACATGTCCTAGTGGGTATCTCTGTAAACAGGATTGGTTTGGGGTCTATGTGCTATCAAAGTGATGTGTGGCTGCCCAGAACACTGGTTGAGGGAGGCTGCCCTGTTGCACTTTGAGTCATTGTAATGTGTGACACTGGAGATTTCTGGTCTGAAAGCTTACTGAAAGCCTCACGTGATGCCTCCCTTCATGCCCTCTGATGCAATCCTGGTACATAATTGTCAAAAGTTCATGGAGTGGTTTATTGACAAAGCCCTTGGACCAAATGTAACTAGCAGGAGTCTCTCCCTTGAGTCTTTGTATCCATGGACTTGGAGGAACTCCTGGCACCTGGGTGAAGAGGATGATTCACAATCATGTTTTTCTACTTGTGTTTTTCACCAGGACAGAAGACCTGAACTACAGAGCCTCGGGGCAGAAAAGTATCAGATTCCCCCATGGATGAGTGGACAGCTGGTGGAAAAAGGTCAGATGGAGCAGTATTAAAGTGACTTGTTTCAAGCAATCACACACACACACACACACACACTATGTATCCACCTGCATGACCCTGCATGTTCCAGTGCTCTTGTCTCATAGGGTTTTTCACAGATGTTTTCTTTGATTTTTCTCTTGCTCTTTCTGCAGCTGTATCTCCTTGTGACATGTCAGGATGGTCGCGACTGCTATTCCCAGATGGAACAGAGTTTTTACAAGGATGGAGATATTGAGATCGCTGCTTTTTTGCACATTTACACATATGATGTTCCCAGAATTGAGAGAAGTTTCAGCAAATATCGCAGATTCAGATGGTAAGTTCTCCTTGCCATAACCATTTTCCATTTATTTACATATTAGCTACTTGTTATTGGGTCTGCAAATGGATAGGCAAATATGTTCTGTATCCCTGCCCTGTCCATCTTCTGTCCCTCCTAAAAAAAGCTGGTAATTGATTTGGGGCATGAGGAAGACATTTCTTTCTGCCTGGCACCGTGGATGGTTCATGGAAATGTTGTCTCATCAGAGGGGGAACCAGAGTCTGGTCGGTATCCTCCTATCCTTCCCTGTCCACCTTCATCAGCTCAGGGGCCTATTGTGCCTCAGTAGCAGATTCTTGCAGAACCCATGCACTGAAATGAACGAACTGAGTTACATGAGCTCTTCCACATGTGCTCACACTCTTTTCAGCTACGTACTAGATTTGGGGCCATGAGAACACTTCATTTCTTCTACAGTTGTAAAGGAGAAAAGATTCAAAAAGTTTTTTCTATGTAAAAGTAATCTTAGGGCAACACCTTTGCACAAATATAATAATTATATTTTACTGATGATTATGCCCATCAGAAATTCAATGGTTGTAATCTAATACATTTACAGTGTTTCCCTGATTCTTCCTTTTCTGGGCAAAATAGATTTCTTAAGGGGGATTATTCTGTTGTTGCCCCTCTTGAAGATTCTTTATTTGTAGCTAAATATAAATATTTCATATATATATATAGCATATATAAATTTCATGCATGCAGAATATAGTATCTTGTAGGACAGCGGAATTGTTTTCTTCAAGCTTGTTTATGAAGGTGCCAATTTTCCAATTGGTTTCTACTGTAAGGCTACAGGAAGTAGGTTGCAGCTGCATAGAACTTTGCTAGAAGGTAGGTATTAGGATATAGATCATTTCAGTATCATTAAAGCCAATGGATTTGAGAAGTATAGTTGGTGCCACCAAGGTGATGCAACTGATGAAGTATTTTAGGCATTTGTCCAAATATCTCTGCAGAAAAAAATCTAATGGATACTAGCTTGGTATAACAATATTACTCACCTCACATTGATTTTTATAAATTCACCTAATTTAATGTGTGCACATGGCATCCAATTCATGAAATATTTATTCATTAGTAGTAGTATTCCCTATGGTTATGCATACAGCACAACATTTATGTGTACCCTTAATGACAGGGACCAGGAGGTAGTGAATTTCCAGTAGTAGGAAAAGAGGCTATGAATAGAGCCCAAGTTCCTCCAAGATGTATGCCATGCAAACTGGAGATCATAATCAAATCTTAATAAACCCAGGGAAAATATCTGTGTTGATGATTCTTGGAAAAATAAGAAATACTGAACTGTCAATAGATTTAGGCGCTATACCCTCCAATGTTAGATTCACCTACTTTAGAATATACAACAATTACTGATAAACTGTTTTTAGAGATAAAGAACACAGCATAAAAGAGATAAACTCTTACAAATTCCAGTGTGTCCATGAGCCGTCTAGACATTTTGGTACAAGACAGCAGCTGGAGAAAGAAATGAGAGGATGCAGAATAATGGAAGTGTGATAGTAATGAGGAGAGAAACAGATATATGAAATACAAAACTGAATTTTATTTGATTCATAGCAATGATTTTCAAATTTCCTCATTCTACAAAGTATGAATGACATATTTGGATAGCAAATATGTATGGAAACTATATATACATAAAACACTATATATACAGCTACTGTGTGCATGGTTATAGTACACATATATAGAGATATATAGATAGAATACATATGTAATATGCATACAGATATCCATATTATGTTACAGCAAGAACCAAGAACTGAAAAACTGTCACTTCCTCTGGAGCACACAGTGACCCTTAACAAGCAGTGTACGTGACTTGGTCTATTCATGAGGAATTAGCACACAGGACATCAGAAATAAATACAAGGGGCTCCTCATTTGCATTCTTTGTGAAATGTCAGATCCTAGAAAGTAGAAATGCATCATTTTCTTTGCATGGAAGACTACTTATATTCAATATTGTAGGAAAAGTTGAGTGAAGAAGGCCTGTTTGGAGTAAATACTGATACCACTCATAATGATTTACTTTAACATATGTTTAGTGTTCTAAATGCATTACTGGCTTAATTGTAAAGCACCAGGTGCCTCATAGCCCAGTGATTTGTGTTTACCCAGGGAGTGTTTCCAGCTTCTCTAAAGTGCTCCTCCCTTTTAAATATTTCCCTTCTTTCAAGCTCTGAATTCAATTTTATTTTCTTGGCTTGTGATGCTGGTTGATGGGTAAGTTTGATGGGGAAGAGATTTTTCAGGATTAATTACAGACTCCCATTTACCATTCTCAGTACTGTGACATCATCCCTCTTTTTGAACACATAGCCTTCAATTGAGTTACTCTCTTTTCCCTTTACAACCTGCAGCATTATGATCGAATGACTGCTATTTCAAGAAGCACTTAATGATGTGGTAAGATGAAGAATCATTGTAGTTTGTGGATGTAGGAAACATTTAGAGGCAGTGCTAAAGATGTGACTTTCCTTGTCATGCTTTCTTTGACAACTGGAGTGTACTCCTAGGTGTGCATAAATTTTAGAGAATGCATTCCAGAACCTGTTGTAGTATTTACTTTAGAGATGAAATATAAAAACTTAGAAGAGGTAGCTATTGCCAGAGGTGATTTAAATTGATGAGGTGTGCATCCAAAAATAAGATCATGTTCTTTGGCTGCATGGAAAACCATGTGATAACATGCCCAAGACATTATGATGTAAAAGCAGATCTTATTTTTCAGAATCATTTAGGCTTGGAAACCAGTAAAAGCTGGTAGAAGCTTTGGTTCTGGTGACGACATGTGTCCTACAAATACAACAGTTCACACTCTGTACTCAGCAAATCTACACATACGGATTAGAACATATGAATTTTGGCCATGACCACTCCATCTGTCATAGTAATCACAGAATTGAAGATAATCTGGATTGGAGGCTTTTCCCTTAAAGATCCTTGTGCATTTCATGCAGGTTTCAGTCCAAAAACTACCAGTATGCTCTGGCCTTGGTTTTCGCTATTGAGGAGATCAACAAAAACCCCTATCTTTTACCCAACATGACCTTGGGATTTGGTCTCTATAATGTCATGCACAGTCATATGACTGTGATGGAGAACCCCTTCATCTGGCTTGCGGGAATGGAAAAGCACGTTCCTAATTACACATGTAGGAAACAGAGCAAGTCTGTTGCTGTAATATCAGAAAGCAGCATTGCTGTCCAAATGGGGACACTGCTGGAACTCTACAAAATTCCACAGGTGATTGTGTAGTGAAAAAGTGGGATAAAGTACATCACCTTAGGTGCCTTACTTAGAACCAAAAATTAAAGTGACAGAGAACTTATACATTTGACACAGTATGTGATCTGAAGAGAATGCGTGGAGAGATTTTGTGGATTAGCTACATTTCTTCTGAAGCAGCGGTGTGGGTGAGTGAAAAGGAGAAATGTTTTTCTCAACCTGTGAGTCTAATGATTCATGAACTAGGAAGATCTCATGTAGTGGGAGATGAGAAAAATGAAAGATTCTAAAATCTGACACTTCCATTATATGCTTAATTTTTTCAGGAATAATATTTTACACTATGACAATAACCTTACACAGATTTCTTGCCTTTTCCCTTAGCTGACTCTTGGGCCTTTTGAACCGCTTCTGACTCACAGTGGTCAGTTTCCCTCCCTCTATCAGATGGCACCCAAAGACACTTCTCTGGCCCGTGGCATGGCCTCCTTGATGCTCCACTTTGGGTGGACCTGGGTGGGTTTGGCCATCTCAGACCTCCCAAAAGGTATTCAGTTTATGTCTGATTTGAAAGCCGAGATGCAGAAGAATGGCATCTGTGTAGACTTTGTGGAATTGATCCCAGCCACTGTAGAGTCACTTTCTTCATTCCAAAATAGTGCTCATATCCAGATCCTAAAATCATCAGCAAATGTGGTGATTCTTTTCTGTGTCACAGAGTCACTCATAGGTGCCAGCTTTCAATCATGGTGGAAGTTAATGATGTGGAAAGTCTGGGTCACCACCTCACAATGGGATTTTGCCAGTTCTGAGGTACCTTTCCTGCTCAACTCATTCCATGGGACTTTCATTTTTTCACACCACCATGCTGAGATCTCTGGTTTCAAAAACTTTCTTCAGACAGCTAACCCTTCCAAATACCCAGAAGACTCTTACCTCTCCAAATTCTGGTCACTGGCTTTTAATTGCTCAGTTACTGGGGCATCCTGTAAAACTCTGCAGAACTGTCCACTGAATGCTTCCTTGGAATCCTTGCCTCCACATCATTTTGATATGACCATGAGTGATGGGAGTTACAACATATACAATGCTGTGTATGCTGTGGCCCACAGTGTACATGAGATGCTTCTACAAGAGGTAGAAATGCAGCCAGTGAACAATGGGGCAAAGGTGGCATTTTCTCCCTGGCAGGTAACTTGGTTTCCATTGTTGACATGTACTCCTGAAGTGATCCCCTTAAGAGCTTCTGCAGGTGTTCGATCCAAGTAGCTTGGGAACCTTTCTCCAAAACACAAGATAAAAATTGAGCCTCTGCCTGTAATTTGTCATTAGCAAAAGGGCTCCAATGAAAAGTGGGCAGGTCTCTTGGATCAGCATCAGTGCTGTGACTTAAAAATACTCTCCAATTTTGTCAATTTAATTTTGACATGTGAAATACCTAGACTGTGTTATTCCATTTTCAACTTCAGCAGTACAGTAATTATTTTCAGGTTCAAATGTCACTGAGGATGTTCATCTACAATGAACATAAGGAATCTCATATAATTTGCACAGTTCTTTATTCTAGTAACTTTATTACAGATAGTTCTCCTAGGTACACTGAGAAAATGAGTATTGGCAGCTTGGAATGTACTATTGGAAATGGTCTGAATCTGGCCAGTGCTGCAGCTCAGTAGGCTAAGCTTCCACCTTGTGGTGCTGGCACACCGGGTTCCAGTCCCGGTCGGGGCACCGGATTCTGTCCGGTTGCCCTTCTTCCAGACCAGCTCTCTGCTGTGGCCAGGGAGTGCAGTGGAGGATGGCCCAAGTGCTTGGGCCCTGCACCCCATGGGAGACCAGGACAAGTACCTGGCCCTGCCTTCAGATCAGTGCAGTGCACCAGCAGCAGCATGCCAGCCACGGCGGCCATTGGATGGTGAACCAACAGCAAAGGAAGAACTTTCTCTCTGTCTCTCTCTCTCTCACTGTCCACTCTGCCTGTCAAAAAAAAGAAAAAAAAAAGGAAATGGTCTGAAACTCACAGGTGGATATTTTTGATTCCCCTTGTTTTTGTAGAAAAATGAGTGAAATCATACTTACCTTGATGTAGTTCTCATCAGGTTTTTTTTTTACTTCAATTCATTGGGTGGTCCTAAACAGGTTCAATAGTTTATTTGTGATTACAGACAAAGAGAGGTTTTCTCTAACCTGGGTTTCATGTGTTATTACTTGGGCAGTCTTCATGAGAATATGATGCATTTTTTCAGTTGCACCCATTTCTGAAGAATCTCCAATTTACCAATCCAGCTGGTGACCTAGTAAATTTGAATCAGAAGAGAAATTTGGAAGCTGAATATGACATTCTCAACTTTTGGAATTTTCCATATGGTTATGGACGTAAGGTTAAAGTAGGATGGTTTTCCCCATATGTTTCACATGGCCAACAGTTGTCTCTCTCTGAGAATTTGATAGAGTGGGCCACAGGAATTACAGAGGTAAGTAGGACTGATCATAAGGTTCACATGACACATTGTTACCCCCCAACTGCTAAGGGAGTATGTGCAGTATGGCTTATTCAAAAGACACTTAGAGACATTAAACCACTCCACTTCCAATCCAAATACTTTCTTATGTTTTTAGTGTCTGAGGATGGACAGTAAACACATTTGTTCGTGCAAGTCTTTTGAATCTATAAGAAAATCAAATAGAATGTTGTCATTGTGTCAGAAACAGATGTTTACAGTTTCAGTGAACAGGTTTGCAGGACTTGAAAACCCTCTACTTGGAACTTATGTAATAGTCTGAATTACGACCAACACTCATCTGATTTTCGCTCAGATTCCACACTCGGTATGCAGTGTGAGTTGCAGCCCTGGATTCAGGAAAACCCCTCTTGAGGGAAAGCCTGCCTGTTGTTTTGATTGCACACCTTGTCCTGGGAATGAGATTTCCAATCAGACAGGTAAGTCAATGCCTGCCTCTTGGAGAAGTTACCACCTGTTTCTTAAATTATCAACTTATCCATGGAAAGAAAATCTGTGGAATATGACTGCTGAGAATAGTCTTCCCCCCTTCAGGTAGAAATTATTCCTTATAATCAATAATAATCCACAAAAGGATAAAACTTTCCACAATACACTCTTTGTATTATTTATGAAAGCATACAAGAGACTGAATGTCTCTGTAATGCTGACCATGTTGGAGTTCAGGCTGATATACATATTGTAAAAAATGAATAGAAACCAAGATTGGAGAATATTCACCCCATAAAACAGTGTGGCATTTCTAAGATTTAGCCATGAGTCAGAGCTATGCTATCCGATGTATCATAAAGATTTTCCAGTTTTTGCTTCTGTTGCATTAGTAGTTATTTGTACCATATATTTAGTATCATTCTAATTTTGTGAAACTTATTGTTGATAATGAAAGGTTCTGGCAACAGAGTACAGTCCATGGGAGTAGTGTGGTGTATGTGCTAATTCAGTATAGGAAAACTCATGTCTGAGTTCCTTGTGCTTGTATAGGTAAAAATGCTTTCAACAAATTCAAGTGTAGCATGCTTGGAGTGAGAAAGTGCAACTCTACACAAACTGTGTGTTATGTGAAAAACTATGTTAGAAATCATAGAGTATATCATCCTGTGGATAATACTCATCAAATATCATAAATGGGGCTAATCTTAGCCTTTGACAAAAGTCATTGCTGCTCAAAATATAAATCTTTAAGAACCTTCTTATGCTTACATATGTACACACATTTATAAAATTCATATCAAAAGAACACAAGCTGACATACATGGTAATAAGTATGCATAGTGGGCCTGGCACTGTGGCACAGTGTGTTTAAGCCCTGGCCTGAAGCACCAGCACCCCATATGGGTGCCAGTTCTAGTCCCAACTGCTCATCTTCTGATCCAGCTCTCTGCTGTGGCCTGGGATAGCAGTAGAAGATGGCCCAAGTCCTTGGGCCAATGCACACACATGAGAGATTCCGAAGCTGTCTTCAGATCAGCACAGCTCTGGCTGCTGCAGCCATCTGGGGAGTGAACCAGTAGATGGAAGACCTCACTCTGTCTCTACCTCCCTCTGTAACTCTGTCTTTAAAAAAATAAGTATGCATACCAAGGTAGGTCAATGACTGCAAATTCAGCCCCAGCCCTTAAAGGTAAAATGTGGACATTATAAGGAAATTGAAGTAAGTAAACATTGGAAGAATTTAAAGTTTGTGATCATAAACGAGATTTATGAACCTCAGCAAGATGGAACAGTGTGAACAGTAAGATTACTCTGTGTGTGTGTGTGTATACACAGAGAGCGCTGAAGGGGTCTATTTAGATGTAAAAATACTAATATTAGAGCTTATTAATCATTTAATTCTGATACATTGAAAAATATAGAATAAATTCAGATATTCTCAGATAGAAATATTTTGAAATATGTTGAGCAATATTTGAAAAATCCAAATATCCTCACAGTTATTAAAATAATTCCCAATACTTGAATTGTGATAAACAATTTTCAGATGAACTCCTTTCTCAACTCCTATAGAGAACAGGAAAAATGGAAAAATTCTGTTTCTTCTATGGGAACATCTCAAGTTGATGGATCAAATACTGCCAGATATTTCAGCAAAATGAAATTGTAAGACACTGTTGTTGAAATAAATTCATACATTTGAAATCTCAAACAATGTAAAACTAACAGTATTTTTTAAATAGGCTACATCATGCCCAAAGAGTTTCATAAAATCTAATTCAGTTTACAGTACATGAAATTTGTAATATTAATTAGCATAACTGAAGAAAAATAGTTAATAAAATCTAAGTGATCTATGAATTGTAAACAAAGAACAAAACCACTGAAACATGACAAAAAGAAGGATTAGCTTTCAATCCTGAAGAGTATTTTTGAATGCTACAAAACATGGAAATTATGGCTGAAGATTGGATACAAAGTTGACGAAAGAACGCAACTTCTACAGAAAATTACACAGGAGGTTCGGCTCCATGCATATTTTCAAAAAAGAATGACATTCAACTTACTAAAAAGGAAGATATAAAAGCGGCATCATTTAAAGTGATATTGGGATAGTGTAATGAAATCAGTGAATTGATAATTGAATTAAGTAGTGCTGGTATACAAAATTGTACAAAGCGGTTACTTTTCCTTACCAATTCTGGAAACCAAAGCTACAAAAGATGGCACTTGTAATGTCTCAAAAGTATGAAATATACAAAGGTAAGACTAACTAAATATTGGAAGAAATCTGCAAGTTGAGACATCAGTCATCAATGGAGCAATATTTTGAAAATGGGAGGGTACACGATAGAGCTGGAGAGAAAATTCATGTTCAAGGATAAAAAGACAGGAAAGTGGAAATATGGAGTAAGTTTCAAGCTGGTCTACAGAC